AAAAAAGGCTCACATTAATGACTTTATATACAATGTATTAGGGAAATGTGAATGGTATCCACACAGCTCCGTCATGTCAGCTGTATATTAGGACAGGTATTACAACTGGCCAAACACAGCATGTTATTGCTTATCTGCTTTACTATGTAAATCATCCATTTCATCAGGACTGAAAAAAAGGTTTGGTTAATACAAAAAAGTGACTTTGCTTGGAATATTCCTCGTTTCTTAGATAAGAGAGCTCCCAGAGTGGTCTCTTTAAAAAGCAAGTGGAATATCTACCTTTGTGTAATCGTATTTCGGTTTTTTGAGTACTTTGAAGTATATGTGCAATCATATTGGTTTACATATATACTAGGTGCAGATAACCTCATATTAAGAAACAAAGACGCTATCTCAGATTAAAAACGACACTATAAATGTTTTCAGCGACATTGTATTTGTACCAGACAGTATTTTGGTTTCAAATGATACCTAAATGTTGATTGGACATTTTCTCTTTAATTTTTTTTATATTTATTTTTATTTTTATTTTTAATTTTTGCATAGGGCGTCCTACTTCAAAATAATTATATTAGTTTACATATTCACCGGTTGCAGATAGTGTAATAGTGGATAAAAATCATCAATGCAGAAACAAAGGCGATATCTCAAGTTGAATATGACACTAATAGCATTTTGAGAAACATTGTATTTGTACCAGACACTATCAGGGTGCCATAAGCTTCTTTAATGTTTGTTTGACATTTTGTCATGAACCAAAATTAAATTTGTTTAGGAATCACAATCATTACTAGCGTCAAGCATCTATATGTTCATACTTACTTGCTGGCCTGCCCTGTTGTTGCTGCTGACCTAAAAAAAGGCTCACATTAATGACTTTATATACAATGTATTAGGGAAATGTGAATGGTATCCACACAGCTCAAAACAATTATATTAGTTTACATATTCACCGGTTGCAGATAGTGTAAAAGTGGATAAAAATCATCAATGCAGAAATAAAGGCTCTATATCAAGTTAAATATGACACTAATAGCATTTTGAGAAACATTGTGTTTGTACCAGACACAACCATGGTGTCATAAGGTACCTTAACGTTTGTTGGACATTTTGTCATGAACCAAAATTAAATTTGTTTAGGAATACCCATCATTACTAGCATCAAGCATCTATATGTTCATACTTACTTGCTGGATTGTCACGTCCGTTATTCTGATCTGAAAAAAAGGCTTACAATAATAACTGTATATACAATGTATTAGGGAAATGTGAATGGTATCCACACAGCTCAATCATGTCAGCTGTATATTAGGACAGGTATTACAACTGGCCAAACACAGCATGTTATTGCTTATCTGCTTTTACTATGTAAACCATCCATTTTATCAGGACTGAAAAACGCTTGGTAAATACAAAAAAGGTGACTTTGATTGGAATATTCCTCGTTTCTTAGATAAGAGAGCTCCCAGAGTGGTCTATTTAAAAAGCAAGTGGAATATCTACCTCTGTGTAATATTATATCGGTTTGTTGAGTCCTTTGAAGTATATGGGCAATCATATTGATTAACATATATACCAGTTGCAGATAACCTCATATTGAGAAACAAAGACGCTATCTAAGATTAAAAAAACGCCACTAATAATGTTTTCAGCAACATTGTATTTGTACCAGGCAGTGGTTTCATAAGATACCTAAATGTTGATTTTACATTTTCTCCTTAACTTAGTTTTTTTTAATTATTTATTTATTAATTAATTTATTTATTTTTTTGCATAGGGTGTCCTGCTTCAAAATAATTATATTAGTTTACATATTCACCAGTTTCAGATAGTGTAATAGTGGATAAAAATCATCAAAGCAGAAACAAAGACGCTATCTCAAGTTGAATATGACACTAATAGCGTTTTGAGAAACATTGTATTTGTACCAGACACTATCAGGGTGTCATAAGGTTCCTTTATGTTTGTTGGACATTTTGTCATGAACCAAAATTTATTTTCTTTAGGAATACACATCATTACTAGCATCAAGCATCTATATGTTCATACTTACTTGCTGGGTTGTCACGTTCGTTATTCCGATCTGAAAAAAAAGGCTCACCTTAATGACTTTATATACAATGTATAAGGGAAATGTGAATGGTATCCACACAGCTCAATCATGTCAGCTGGCCAAACACAGCATGTTATTTCTTATCCGTTTAACTATGTGAATACGCGTATATTTGTTACGATACTCGACCGATAATGCTTGGTAAATGTAAAAAATTGAGTTTGCTTGGACAATTCCTCGTTTCTCAATTAGAAAACGGAATCCCGATAGCGGTCTCCTTTAAAGACACTAAAAAAAATGTCCCCATTTGTGTGATTGTACTTCAGCTTGATAATTTGAATATATGTACATTTTGTAAAGATTCAAAGTATCAAAATTAACAGAAGTATAATCTTGAAAACACAATGTTGGAAATGCATGAACATCAAAACAAAATACTTACCATTAATTATCCTTCTCAAAGATGACAAACAAGATGCTATTTGTTCTATAATGTAATAGATAAACGGAAATAAATTTTCTGCAGTGATGAAGAGGGCAGATAAGAGAAAAAAAGTAATGGTATGTTTTCTTAAAGAGGATAATGCGTGTTTAAAGACTATACTATGTTAAGAACGGCTGATAAATGTGAAGTGGTAAATCACAAATCAATCACAGAGTAATCAAAATTTTAAAAAGAAATTGGATTAAACGGCGTTGCGTGAATGATTAGAATAATAATGTCTACTCACCGCGGTAGCATATACACAGCCCCACAACTATTGACATAATCACTGTTTCTATAATCGCCAAAACAAGGATAGCTGGTATAACATAAAAAGGCAAACATTGAAACTATTAAGAATTTCACCGTTTTACTTTATTCACTTCGGTATTATCAACAGTTGAGGCTTTTCAGACATGTTTATGTCACAACAGACAGCTGGTTAAAATGCATTCTGTTAGAATTTTATCATAACAAAAAGGCTTCACTTGCTATGTTGCGATAGTGAACTTACCAATGATCATATCCTCCAAAGCTCCAGAATTGCTGAAAGGACGTTATAAAATATGCGGACAAAAGTGACTCAGTCATTTACAGGTATATAATATACAACATTTGAGGCAAACGCAATTGCATCTTGCCTGCAGATATAATTAGCCCCCTGACAGAACGCATGAATGTGACCAAACATTGTTTCAGTGTGGGAGCTACAATAGCATCCTGCTCAAGCGCACCAGATATCTGAATATGTAATTTGTTCGTCGCAGAATGATGCATGATATAATGTCAATTTGATTCTGCATATTTGTGTTCACCGATCATGGCGTGCCTTATGCATAAAACATAACCTTCCAAATGATGCAATACATTTGGGGACCTATTTATATATATGCAACTTACTTTGCCTTACCGCATGCTCAGTGTTAATGTAATGATGGTTTATATCAACGGACTTCTAAACAGAAGAGTGATTATATTAATAAACATTTTATTTACCATGTTCCTGGAGTGCTGTCTGATATGTCTGGTATGCTGAAATAAAAAACACTGGTTGCATAAATTCTAAAAAAGTCTTAATGAATGAATAAGTGCATCTGGCGTCTAAAACATTAAATGTTATGACCCATATGGGAAGGATGTCCAACATTTCAAATGGAATCAATAAATGCAATTACTATGAATATATATTTACCTTGAGCAAAAATGTTCATTAGCTTGGTTGTTGGATATACATGAAATTCTCAAACACAAGCCTCAATTTTTTTTTTTCATACCGTTAGCTTACGGCCAACCTGGTCGAAGGCCTTCATCAGACTGACGTGAGAAGTTGTTCACACTCTTAGCTTACGACTTACTTAGCTTACTACCGTTAACTTACGACCAGGTTGGCCGTAAGCTAACGGTATGAAAAACAAATTGAGGCTTGTGTTTGAGAATTTCATGTATATATTTACCTTGTTGTTATGTTCCTTCCTGGTGGCAGTGCACTGAAATATAAACAATTTCTTTTTTTTTTTTAATTTCAAACAAATAGGTCAGTGAAGGAATCAACAGGCGTGGGTGCCAAATGAACACATCTATAAAAACATTAAAGGTAATTACCAAATGCATGGACAAGCACTCTTTTTGATACATAGATCGCAGTTTGTTTTATCTTTTCCAAATAGAAAGCAAGCAAAAAGCTAACAAAAACATGTTTTATATTGATATTGTAAAAAGATCCCCCAATTTCACATATGTCCACAAGGTTCATATATTAATATGCAAGAAATACGCCTCTTGCTCTACCTCATGTCAAATCTCAAAGGCAGCTTTTACTCGCACTATTTCCAAGCAAGAACATATTCATCATCGTTTTAAAATCTTAGGCAAGTTGGTTTTCATAGCATACACATAATCCAAACTTCATTATCCTTTTTAATGATAAAAGTATGTATATTTGTTGTCTAAAATCCATATAACAAGACAGCAAAGCTGTCAAACGTACAGAAAAAAAAGCTTAAAACTTGACGCACAAAATATGTAACTGTCGATTCTGATGCAATGACACATTATATTTAACTTCAAAGTCAACACCAAATTTTAATTATGCAGAACAATTAAATGAATGAAAGTAAAATATGTAGGCTCCAGGCCAATAAAAGTTCAAGTTCACACTTTGAAAATGCGGGAAATAGAAAACGAAACTGTAACATTTTTTATACATTCAAGAAAAATAACTAACCCACGTTTTCAAATTTGAGGTGTATGACAATCATATTCTTTTAAGTTACAAAATAATAAGCAGCACAGTTTTTATTCCATAACATGTGTGGTGGCAGTACACAAAATAGGTTTTTGACATTTTGATATTAAATTTTATAATGGTTAGTTTTATCAGCATTAATTGTTAATTACCTACCATACATTACACGGATATTACAAAATATACAACCATTTGGCTTTATGCACGCAGGATCTCTCCCGCACGAAAATGCAGTAGTATAGAAGTAGCAAAGAAGCATTAACGCAGTAGTGGTGTGGAGCATATTTGCAGTAGAAATGCAGCATAGCCTACTGCAATTCTACTCCAAAAAGTGCATAAGTTTGTACAGAGAGGAGCATTAATGCAGTAGATTAGCAGCATGACAGAAGCATGTTTCGAATATGCTAATTAGCTCCCAAATCGAAGCAGATTTGAAGCATGTTTGCAGTATGATTGCAGCAGTCTACTGCGGTTTGCAGTATGATTGCAGTAATCTACTGCACTGTATCTACTGCGTTTTCTTGCGGGAGCGCAGTCCCATAATGAAAATGCCAGTATGTGAAAAACTTCACAAAGAACCGCATAGTTTCCAGAAAAAAGGCAATCATTAGGTTTAATAATCATAAGTGACCTGGTTTTCTTTAATGGTGATATTGGTGACAGTACCCAAAATAGGGTTTTACTTCAATTTTGCCCGCACGAAAATGCAGTAGTATCGAAGTACCTGTAGCAAAGAAGCATTAACGCAGTAGTGGTGTGGAGCATATTTGCAGTAGAAATGAAGTATAGCCTACTGCAATTCTACTTCAAAATTTACATAGGGTTGTACAGAGGAGGATCATTAATGCAGTGGATTAGCAGCATAATAGAAGCATGTTTCAAATATGCTAATTAGCTCCCAATGCGAAGCAGATTTGAGGCATATTTGCAGTATGATTGCAGTAGTCTACTGCGCTGGAGTATCTATTTCGTTTTCGTACGGGTGATGCAATATAACAAAATGCTTAAGAGAATCATCACGACCAATTATAATAATATAATATAATATAAGCATCATGGACATTCAGAAAATGTGACTAGCAAAGGTCTTCAAGCCCATGGAAGTTCAAAGTCACACCCTACAAATTGCCAATATGTGGAATTTTTGATTCACAGAAAAAATGTTTTTCAACTAAAACTGTAGTTAGTTCAATAAATATTTTCTGTTAGCCGAGGAATAATAACGTGACATGGTTTGCCTTGAATGGTCACTATGACGACAGTGCCCAAAATGTTTCTTCAATTTAAATTCAATATTACATAATGCTTAACAGCATTTAGTCAACACAAATATTCCATAATGCATTGCAGGTAACATCGAACTAAAGACTAGACAACGAAACTTACAAATACGCATACACCAAACAGGAAACAAGGCAGCAAAGCTGTCAAAATGTTAGGCATTTCACAGAAAAAAATATGCATACATAATATTTTACCAATTTGGTGCACTGTGGCATAATGTTTTAAAATAACAAAATCGCTCTGACCCTCTTACATCATATACTGTAGGTAACGAGGCCATCGAAATACTAACGAGTGAATCAATTCAACGTGGTTCAAAATCCACTGAAAATGCTAATGTGTGAAAATTGAAAATTTCACAAAAACAAAACAAAAAAACAATAATAATATATATAGTAACCAATTACAACTCGCTGAAAGTGTAACGGACGATCTTTTCGAAGACCAGCACAGAAACGCATGTCTTGGTTCACTTATTCACTGTTTGTACTAACATGGAATTTACATACTAGTAAAATAAAAGCCAGTCAGGTTGCCCACCGGGTTGTATTTATTATTAATATTATTGTTTTTTATTATTTTTTGGGGGGGGTTAACTCTGAACTCATCATGCTGCACACTGTTGAAATACAAGTTGTGAATAAGCAGAGGTTGATCAGAGGGTTCACAAATGAGAAGTCAACCCTCCCTCCCCTTGGAGTGAAGTTCGGGGCCCGGTGAAAGGTATTGGTAATTAAGAGGTCGAACGGTGTCGTTGCCACGGTCTTAACTATGACTCACCTAAATATTCTAATTTCAAGAGGGGATCCCGTGATGTTTTATCTTTTTTTTTTCAGAAGTCGAAAGAGGGAGTCAGGGAACCAGGAGTGAAGGAAATCTTTAACCCTGACCCCTGCCTGGTTTATTTTTTATTTATTTATTAAAGCTACAGATAGTGTAACTTCCATCTGTAAATATACACCATGAAATCACACACACGTTGAAATAAGACCAGCAAATTTCAAATTTCATAAAAGGGGTGAAATCATGACACATTATTCTGGTTCGTCCTGGGAAAAAAAAACGAATCGACTCTGATAGTTCTCTTCGTGATCGTTCAAGAGTTAAATTTTCGGTGGGGAAACCATACATGATTTACTTCGTGCATCAAAACAGTAAATCTCGTCTTTCATGCGGGAGCGTTAGCGGCAGTAAACAGGAGTGCTTACACGTAACATACTTAGCACTTTGACGCAAAAGTAAAGTTGGGAAGGTATTTTCTTTTGTATGAGATGTAAAAATATATTCTCACCAAAAGCGATCGTGGTATTACTTTAACAGGGAGAGAAGACAACTACACGTGGAATCAATTTAATATAATGCATGTACTTCAAAGCATTCACCGCTTTGTATCTCAAATGGATATGCTTCTTGGGTGGTAGATAAGCCCAGGTACACCTTGCACTTGGGGGCAAATCTTTAAAGAACAGTCTTTTCGACGCAATATTGAAATAAGATATAATATAAATCTGTACATGTTAACATTGGGGGGTTTATCTTGCATTTATTTTAACATGCGCAACGATAAGCAGAACATTGGAAAATATACCCACCATTTAGATACGCAATGCTTCGTTCCGTCGAAGTCCTCAACATCCTGGCCATTTTCTAAAATATAGAATGTGATCATAACTTATCTATTTACACTCCTCTCATGTGTATAAGTACAAACAGTATATTGAAAAATCAACTTAAGGACGTTCTCTCATATAAGCTTTTTTTTTTTTGCGATCTGCGCAGATTTCGCGCATAAGTAGTATTTTGCGATAGAGGCTAATTATGAAACTATAGCATGCAATAAAATACGTAATTCATTCTTTTAAGAGATCTGTATGAAATATTTGATGTTATTTTGGTCGAATCGCTACGAATATGTCAATATGTCAACAATACGTTGCGTATCAGTGAAGGCTTGGTCTTTTACGACGCAAAGTACCCACTTGCGGCTTTGTTTACAAATGCCGCAATGTATGAAATTACGCGAAGAAGAGATTGAAAAGATCGTTTTAGTAAGGCTTGTATAGCACTGACATGATCTTATCTTACAGAAAACATTCACAAGGGCTTGCATTTTGACCACAAAGTGTATTGCTTAATTTTTTGTCATATGGTTTTGATGTGTGTAGCAAGACATATTCTTCTTCAGCATTGGTTCCCGATCCTGGTTGCAGTGATTTGTATGCTGAAAACAATTATCTTTTTTCTCTCAATTAGTTAAAATAATTAGACTCATGGCGTCTTATTGTTGATTTAAGTATGTTATTGAACAATATGACCTGTAAACAGTGCGATTTTTAGCTCTCCTGGAAAGATGCAATAGGTGTCCACCCATCCGGCGTGTTGCGATGTCATTCTTGTAATGGTTTTGTAAAAGTGCAAATGGACAAAACCATAAACACACAACAGAGGACCAAGGTTTTTTTTTTTTTTTTTTTTTTTTTTTTTTTTTTTTTTTTTTTTTTAATGCAAATACATGTAATACTTTTTTATGCTGGGAAAATAAACAGTATATTTTAGAAGTAAAATTATACTATATTCCAACTTTATCCAAATTTACCCAGTCATTAACAATTTAGTTTGTAAATTACTTAACAGAAATTATTCAGCCCGTAATGTATTATAATATTGTCTTGAGTCAAAAAAAATTAGTTGATGTATGCAATAATAAAGAGCAGAAAATCCTTTGATCTCATAATCTTGGGCCGTGCGATAAGAGTAGGAGCACCAAGCCTTTTTTCAGTGTTTTTGATCTTAATATGATAAAAATTAAAATTAAAAATGATATTGAAACTGATTATCACAAAAATATTCACGGCACATATTTTTTAAAAATGGCCCAGCCAGATTTTGACCCACCCAGGAAGATCCCTGTTATTTGATTTTTTTTTAATTTTATCCCATTCAATTAACAAAATCCTATGTTTAACCTTTAGCAAATTCTATATAATACCTAGTTTATAAAAATAATTTATTCATGTTTAGGGGGGAAATCAATATGTCGTGGTTAATATATCAGCATTTGCACATGTCATTTCAAAGAGGTCTAGATGGTCTTTATTGTCTTCTATGTGAAATTAATCTAAACACAACAAAGAGTAACAAAATGTATAAAGTAATAAGAAAAATGCATGTAGGATGTCTTTAATGCCTAAATTCTAAATAAGTATGTATATTTATTATATATATTTATTTGATTTCATGTTGTAAATATAATATGAAATCGAAATAAACTGATAACCAAAATATGTCTTTAGATGAATATTTTAACTTTTTGCCACCTAGTTTCCAAAGCACATTTGTCAAGAAATATGGCTACATGTAAAGTACCAGTAGTAAGAAATTGATACATTGTTTAAACAATGTATATTAAAATATACAAAGCAAACAATCTAACCAGTTATCGCAATGTTAAAAATGTATAAACCAGTACGAAAAAAAGAATAGGAAGATAAAAGTCACAAGAGATTGATACATGTGCTAAAAGGTCCAGCCTATAAAAAATCCAATATGGCGGCATTCCATGAGGCATACTGAAATCCAACTGATACTTTCAACATTTGAATATATATTTATTATGAATGGGATAAGCAAACTTTATGAAATTTGGTTAGCTGATGCAGAGAAGTATAGGGTATAATTTTCATGGAAGCAAAATAAGCGTATGAGTTAAAAAATCCACGATACAAAACATATTTATTTAAATATGCTTGGACATTTCCATTGATTCCTATGTAAATTTGATAAAAAAATTGATGTTCAAGGAGCCCTGGCTCAAAACAAGTATAGCGTGGTACATATTTTTTTGTAAATTTCTTTGAGGTCTACCAAGATCTATAACATATCCACATAAAAGTAAAATGGCTAGGGCAGAATTTTTTATTTTTGCATTTTTCAGCAAAATTAAGGGCATTTTGGCAAAATCCCCATATAACGCAATGTTATAAACGTAGCGTTTTTCGGGACGCCACCTCTCAAAAACGAGCTTGGGTACCCCCAATTTTTTTTCATATTTTTTACTCATATGGTAAGAAATTTTGTCTTACAATTTTAATCAAAATTGCTAGGGCAGAAATATGAAATCTGAAATATGAGAGAGCGTCCTTAAGTCACATTTTAACGTGCGTGTAAACAATAACTCTATTTCAGAGAATGCGCATTAAAAGGGGTTCAACAAATGGACAATCGAGAGAGAGACCAATGAACGGTTTTCGGAAAAAATATTTACAAGCACTGCCATATTGAAACAGTTATTATATATTTTAGCAATCCTCTTGCAGTAAGGCATCATCAATGTGAAGTGTCATTTGTTAACGAAAAGGATGAGTGTTGGTAACCATTGGCAAAGTGCCCGTCTTCAGTTTTTTTTTTTTTTTTTTTTTTTTTTTTTTAATAATTTGCCCCAAAAATGATAAGGTACAATTAAAAACGGAATGAAAATAAAGTATACATAGTAACAGTTATGGCCAATGATCTGTATGACAATGAAATTAAATCACCTAAAAAAGCACTTCATGTGATTCTGTAGGTGATAAGACCTTGTACAGAACGGACTGCAAGAGCCTTCTCAACAACATAATTTTCGATTGCCTCATAGCAAACCCCATATACCACTGGGCTAAAGTGCACAACTTCCAACTGTCTGGGCATCTAATTTACACTGACAGTACCTGACAGTACTGACACTGATGAGTCTAGTTTTAGACTTTTCTACAGGGGACTTCAATCCATAAACTGTACCAGTGGCTAGATGTGTGCTTTGACTGTATTTATTAGGTTCTGATTAAACCAGGCGCATCCTTGCATATGATGGTTTCAAACTACCATCTAGCAGATGCTCATTAATATACAGTCTAGCTTGCTCTATCTGGTAAACGCCTGGTAATAATTACAATGTATTGGGACATTTACCAAGTCAGTGGGTTTTCATAGATCTCCTTGACGACATGAGCCATTCATAGCATTTTGAAAAAAAAAAACTACAATGCTATAATGAATAGTGCTGGTGTGGAAGGTAAAGACATAAATAACAAAACTAGGGTGTGTGTGATGGAGCCTTTTATTTTACCTTTTATACAAAATAGTCTTAAAATGGGGATGTTTACACAACAGTTTTGGTTGTACAAAATGTATCTTCATGCCCATTACAAGTGGGTTGGGTCAAGCCACCCTTATGTGTAGAGGTCTAGTTCAGCATGGGTCTCTATATAAAGTAGGAGCCACCACAATCTACGTCTACTATTAAGATAATTAATGTAACTTTGTTTATCTGAAGCACATTTTACATTTTATCTTTCTCAATCGTAAGAAATACGAAAATAAATAAGATTTACATTGTACTTACTGTATTTGGACTCGTTTTCTTATCCATATTTGCCCTTTTCGATAACATGCATTACATAAAAATGAGTTTTCTTTTTAGTGATATTAAAACATATTTTAGTGATTCTAAACCCTGTTTTCCTTTCAAAGACCTACATTTTTTTGGAGTTGTTATCTTTGTACGAAATATTCATTTTATCTGCCTAGCCATGATCTATAAGCATGCAGCAGATACATTGTACCTCATGGAAGAAATATACATTGCCGACTGCTAGCATGTGGACTGAATATGTCCTTATTTAGTTTGAGTAGATATCAAGCCCAATCCTAAGACAAGCTGGTTTTTATATAAACCTTACATTATATTCATGTCTTTTCAACCATGAATGACTAGCTTGTCCTAGGCGGGGGCTAATATAAAAATGGACATCTTTTATCATCAAGTCATTATGAGATTCTTCTTTCAATTAACAATACATGTAAGAACTAAGCAATCAAAATATTGATCAATAGCAATGGTTGGCCACTTATTGCCTTTCTTTTTCAAACTGGCACCACCTTCTTTACCCAATTGCAAAATTTCACAGTTGCCTCCTTACTACAGATATAGAAATGTACCAATGATTTCCAGAACCCCCCTAAAGCACTCATTTTCATCAATATTTGACAAGGTCATTTTGATATCAATTTTTGATATATCAAAATTAAAAAATACAGTGGATCATAAAAGTGTAGGACCTTCATTTTTATGTGGTGTCTATTTTTTTCATTCATTCACAATTTATTTTTCATGTACAAAGGTGGGCACTTTTACCCTCCTATCAACACTCACCCCTTTCCATATTTATATGATATCCCCAAAAAGTGGCACAAAATAGTACAATGTACCTTTCCGAACACGCTGGCGTAATCCTAGACAACCATACATGCATGCATTGCTAAACATTGCATTTTGTGGCTTGCTTTATTGAAAAACCCGACTTATGTTGACAGTATTCTAATTGGCAAACATGTGTTTTACTTTACATATTGCAGCAATACTGTGGAATATGTAGAAATATACATGTATGTGTCGTGTTGCCTACCTGTTACGTTTGGTAATTTTCCATCTAAGCAGCGGATACAAATACATGCCTCTGGTTTGTTTGTTTTTCGACATTCTTTAGGTCGTCGAGGTGCATAACCTTTTAACCCATCGCACCAGCATCTGTTGTCCTGAAGAGAAAACTGTTTGCATTTAGCGTAGAGACGGGGCGGGAAAATCAGCATTATTTTATAGTATTTTATAACCTTTAAATTCACTATGGAGAGAAAATCAAATGGAATGGAAATGCTAGCTGTCTATGTATGACTACGAATTGCAACAGTGAAGCAAATGAAGCTTGACTAAATTACACATTTTTCATACCTGTGCCTTACACGTTCCAGGACAGTTAATAATGATAAATAATATTAACTCCTTTTGAGTCTTAAATCCATTATAACATGTCCAGACGACTTAACATATGTATAAAACAGTTATTAAGAAATGACTTATTAGGAATAGATGAATGAAAATTTACAGGGTTTAACGACCAAAAAAAAAAAAAAAAAGAAAGAAAGAAAGATTCTAGATAAAACATACCGATTCCCTCATAAAAAACACTTAAGTGCATAACTAAAATATGTTTGTAAAAAAAAAGCAATTCTAGATAAAAAAACAGCCTTATTTGCACACAGAAAATATTATAGGTAGAACAGACTTACATTTACAGTGCAAAGTGCAATGACTTTAAATTTGTAAAACCAATTTAAAAGTCAATTAATCAAAACATTTCTTGAATAGGTATGTCTTCAGTTGTTTTTTAAAAATGCTTGGTAGACTCAATTGATCGGATTTCCAGTGGTAATAAATTTCATTCCTTTGGACCTGCTGATTTAAAAGAAGTGTCACCATAAGTAGGGGGGTCCATAATTCCAAAAATATGTCAAAACCAGCTAAAAAGTTCCTTACACACCTAAAAACAATATTTCAAATGATCTTTTTGAAAGACCATTGATAACTCTGCTGCTACTTGCATTATATGATCACGCGGTTTTTAGCATTTTAGCGCGATTTTCAAGATTTTCTACTGTTTCGGGACTGACTTCCTACAACATGAATGAAAGTTATAGGATATAGACCTGACAAGTTATTTCAAACTCACCAAAGTCAAATAGATGGGTTTTGTATTTGGTTTTTAATAATTTTTTGTAAAAAGTTTATTTGAAAGGTAGCTAAACACTCAAAATCATGGCGGCATTGACACCTTATATCAATAACATCATCATGGTATAATTATTCATAGTTTTGATAACATTTTTCCTTTTAGATTTCTCATGATTCCATTATCTTTTTAGGGTATCTATACTGAATTGGTGAAAAAATAGCTAGACAATGATTGCAACTAACTTGTCTTGTAAGAGATGCTCTGGGATCGGAATATATCAGAATAGTTGCTGCTGTTGTAGTATTCAATTAATTTCATGCCATAACAATATTCAGGGGTGCAACACACAGCAAATTGGAAGAAAAATTTTAATCATTACATCTAGAGCTGAGTAGAAATGAGGTAAATGAGAATTTATTTCAGCTAGATGCTCCTGAGTTTTCCTGTTTCAACCAAGAATCATTCTAGGAAGGGAAAGATAACTATGGCCTACATGTAGTTGAGAGTGTGAACGATGTGCATCTGAATGAGTGCATAGCTTTGACAAAGAAGATAATTACCAGAAATGGCAAAGGTTCTGGCTATGCAACGCAGATAATACTATGGATTTGGTGAATATCCAGTTGAATATTCTGTGTTTGATCAGTGTGAAAACATGGATGAGACCCCTTTCCACAACCTTCACATGGAACGGCAGTGTGGTGACACTGATCAAAGATTGAGGAAGAAACCAAATCTAGAGGCTGTGGCTTGAGGGACTGTGCTAAAAGAAACTAGCAAATTAAGGAAAACTGTTTCTACTGAATACCGGTGTTACATGAAAATCTGATCCCCAGTCAAAATTTCATAATGAAAATCTGACTCCCCCCATGAAATTTTGACTCCCCCTACATACCTTTATAAATCTTATTTTATTTGAGTATATGACTTCTACAACCCGAAGACCCCCCTATGAAAAAGCTGTTTATTTGATATTTGATGATCATTTCAATACATTTCCATTAAGTATATTTTATCAAAAACATATGGGAAATATTAGAAAGTTTCATTGTAAAAAATTGGGTGAAAAAAATGAAAAAAAAAAATCTTGAAAAATCTCCATTTTCATATCCGTGGTATTTGGACTCCCATGAAGACAAAACCCTATTTTATATTTAGTCACCATACCATTATTTTCCACATAGTTTGCATTGTGATGTATATTTTGTTAGTNCCCCCCCCCCCCCAGTCAAAATTTCATAATGAAAATCCGACCCCCCCCCCATGAAATTTTGACTCCCCCTACAAACCTTAATAAAAATCTTATTTTATTTGAGTATATGAATTCTACAACCCCCTATGAAAAAGTTATTGGGTCCGTTAAAATATGTTATTGTATTTTCTTTTGGCTTACAATTTTTGTTACATATCTTTCTAATACTCCCTTTCTCTTCCTCTCTTTTTTGTAATATCAAAAAGGAGGGAAATATTATATATATATAATAGAGTACTCAACTTAAAAAATAATCTGAAATTGGCATCACCGATCTTCAGCAGCAAAATGGAATTACACACACTGGACAAAAGAAGTGTCACCCCCTAACTCAGAGCAAAAAAAGTAGGCAGATCTTGGGTACTTATAATGCCTGGTCTACTTATGATGTGACTAATGAGTATAAAACTGCTATACCATGGAATTGTATTGTTGGTCTTGGACATGTACAGCAAATGTTATTCCTGTCTTCCTCCAATATGGCAAAATACAGGTAATTATCTAACGATTATAGGTGCAAGTTACTNGTAACCAGTGGGCTGTTCTACAACGTCCGGTCGTTAAGTTGTTACTGGATAAGTCCATCAGCTCTAAATTTTACTGACGTTGTTGAAATGTATTGTGTAAATGCACTAAACGAGATGAAGAAAAAGGCCTAGCCCTATAAAATTTGCCAATGAATAAATGGGGATGTGTATAAAAAACGCTGATGTCCAACACTGCGAAAAACGACACCTGGTTTATTATCTATGAAAATATATCTGCACATCCACGATACAGGGCAACAACTATGAGATATGGGCGTTAAAATTTCAACATGGCGCCGAATCTATGAGCACACTTTACTCTCAGAAGATGTACCGTATTTTTATTTATATTCAAACATTTTGGAAAATGTAACATTAAACTTATATAAAACTGCAATTATGATAATTTATTGTATTTATGTAGCAAATGGTTTGCTTTAGTGGTGGTATTAACTTTTTGGTAATACATCAACGTTTTGTTTATAGGAAATTAGTCTTAGTTGGGTCTTGTGTCTGCACATTTTGACCTTAAGTAATTGACCAAGGCAAGGTGATAACAGATGTCGAGGGTTAAGAAATGTCTTAGCTGCTGTGTATCTAGGCACACACATTTATATTTTAGGAAAGATGTTTTGAGGACTAAGTCGAGCTGCATTCAGTGAGAAGTCATTCAGCTTTGTTGTTGGGGAGATATTTACCCGCAGTTTTAGCAGCTTCACTGTATTATTGCTTAAGTTTCTTTATTGTTATTCGACACTGGTTACCAGTCATCACTTTTTGTGGTTTCAAGATCTGGGGACGGCTGCTCCTATAGCTGTTGTGATTTTTCATATTTTTCTTTATTAATCCTGGTTATACTCATTGACATACTTTATTATTTTTATATTATGGCACTTATATAGTTTGGGGGGATGTTTGATTATCTCCCCAGTTTTGTAACTTTGTATCTTATTAGTTTTCTTAATTAATAAATGACAATTTTCAGTCATATGGACTTATCTTACTTAATTTGGAGCAAAAACAGAGCTTCGTTGTGCTTGTGAACATTTGGCTTCCTATAAAATTATCAGAGAAAGGTGCACGTAAGTTCGTAGGTTCTACCGTTCAACAGCGATGACATGACATCGTCTCTTATGCGTTAAGGTTACAATTACCTGTGTTTTGTTTCCAGATTTCCAGATAATTTGTCCTTCTTTGGAACACTTTGTCAGTGTCTTGCAAATTCCCGAATGATTATATCCACCTGAAAATGGTTAGATATATTGTATACAAAGAAGTTTGCCTAACTTTCAAGGTGTTATGGTCACAATTACCGAAAGCACTTGACAATTTGTAACGACTTATCAAAAATAATTTGTCATCGAAAAATGGTCATAGGTGTTACATCTCTAACTTAAATACAAATAAAAAGAAAACATGCCCCACTTGTCAGATATAAAATGTATATTAAGAAAGCCACTTATTAAAAAAACATTCATCATAAACATTATTGTCAGTAATAAATGAACATAATTTACCTGCACAACAAAGGTCATTGCATTCCGGTTGGGGTTTAACTTCAGTAATGGCTGCAGCATACAGCTATAATATATAAAAGTCATATTTGCAATGAATGATGACAAATGATAAAGCTTAAAAAACATAGAATTGCAGGGGAAAACAAACACAAGGTCTTAATAACTGTTTTTTATAAAGCCCTTGATCCCCCTATTCTTAAAATAGTGCAATTTATTAAAATGTAGCGCATGAGGACAAATCACAAACAGACTTACTGCTGCAAAATGGATCAAATAGACGACCATTGTTCACTGATGTTTAAAGTGCCTGTAAGGGAGAAATAATGTTACGTAAATAATGCCATTTTTGGTAAAGTATTTATATCAAGGGTCGTAAACACGAGTGTAATTATCACCAAGGGAAAACCTGAATGTTGAGTAGCCGAAATAGAAGGCATTCACAGTGCAATAAATAGATAAATAAATAGATAAATAAATAAATAACATTTGAAAAATATAATACAAGAAGCCTTCAACATCTAAACCTACAAATTACTATAATGCATATTGTCCTAACATGCATTTTATCTAAAATAGATAATGCACGTCTTTAAGCCTATATTGAGGATTTTGGGCAACTATAAACCAAACCAGCTTTAAGTTAATTCGAATACAACTATACAGGCTATTGAACAATACGCTTGCAGGCTGTTTGCAGATGTGTGTGTGTGTGTGTGTTTTAATCTGGGACATTCCACGAAGATGGAAAAAAATGCAGAGGCATTCTAATTAGATGTTTATAAATAGCCCGATTTTCAAAAACAGTTAACAGACTACATGGTAAAACTCTTTCTTTTTCGCCGCAGAGACTGCAGAAACAATTCGCTTTCCGGCCATTGATCTTTACAAGCCCACTCTGTACTATTTAACTATTAATGCAAAAACAATGCAATAACAATGCAATTCAAGTATACTCCGACCCACAAGAAATAACAACAAAAACAGATGATTTACTTAACTAATTAAGTTCGTCTTACATAGTCTTTATGTGAGTATAATTCACTTTACAAATCAGTCTCTACTGCGCCAGTATTGTGTCCTATGCTTGACAGGTTTTCTAGGTCTGCTAATGTAGGTAATTCTAATGTTGACAGTTCTAAGTTACGAGGTCTACGGTGTGGAATATATTGCTTACTAGGCCCACTTCACGCTGATTGATTTGCAACAGGTATGCAACTGAATGTGAGCTTTTCTCTCTATAGCCCCAGGCTGTATGCTACAATGTTTAAGCCCCCGCCACACTTATTCGGAATCAGCAAGAATCAAGCAGAACCAGCTGGAATGTCTACATTTAAAAATTCGTACTACATTCGGGAAGAAATTTCAAATAGACCTAATTTTTTGAAAGAATGCCGTTGGAATACGCAAATATGCTTGAATCCGCCTGGAATGATTCATGTGCATTTCGGCGGTATTAGCTCTCACATGCAGTTCGAATGTAGTTGGAAAACGAGGAAGATGAATAATCCTGTCACAATGCAGTACGTACATGTACGAGTATAGTTCAATTGCTGACTTAAATAGGATCGAGATGCATTTGAGTTGCAGTCTGGCTCATTCTAGCAGGATTTGAAGTCTCTTGCCATTTTGGTTCTCCTTCGAATGTGATCAGAATGTTTCGAATGCTGTCGGAATACTGTTAGAATATTTAGAATGCAGTCACATTGCAGTAAGAAAACTATTCAAATGCCATTCGACAAATTTCCACTTATAATGCATTTCAAAAGTTTTTAACATGAGCAAAACATTCGGGGTGATCACAAGAATGGGTAAAACTATTTGGAATGCACTCAGAAATTTTAGAATGCTCTTCGAATATATCCAGGAACGCACAAAGAATTGTCATTCCGACTGCATTCTTCTTTACTTTCAATAATAATAATAATAATAATAATAATAATAATAATAATAATAATAATAATAATATTTTTATTATTATTATTGAGATATTGCACCCACAACGGGTTGGAGTTATACATATATTTATTTAATTCACAAATTCAAAGAAGACCTGGTTATTTTGGTTCTGTTTCACATTCTAACCACAAGACCATACGAGCGGTTAACTGTAACGTGATTAAGTCGAGACAGGTCGTGCGCATCGTGTTCTTTTTAACATTATCATTCTTGTGGTGAGGATACCAAGTACTGGAAGGGCGTTAAATTGTATATACTTAAACCGTTTCAGTAATGATTCTTGGACATTTTAACGAACGTTTCATTATCTGTAGACACTTTTAGTGGTTACGATAATAGACAGAAATTGTACATTGCTGATTAAATCATTTTTTCCGTTTTCTATTTTTGTGTTCAGATAATATGACTTTGCAATTTTTGAATGTTGAAAAAGTGACAGAATGTGGTATCATCATATTTTCAATGGTTTTACAAAATGACGAAAGAAACAGCGTTAAAGATTCGCACATTGACACTTACCTGTAGCCTTATATGGAGGTTTGAGGTGTTGTAATCTTACCATACGTGGGGTAAAGGAATGCAAAAACTTGCCAACAATTGCAATTTGTGTTTTTCCAAGATTTTATTTTATTTATTATAATTTATTTTTATCATTATATTTAGAAAGCAGCCATGTCCAACTATGAAAAATATAGTGTACGTCCAACTAGGTGACCCTCATACACATATTTTTAACAGGCCCTTTCAACCTTCCAGGGGCATGTTTACGAATCCTTGCGACCGGTGAGAAACTTGTAAGCGACCAAGCAACTAGTAACTGTCAATCGACCGTACAGTTACGAGTAGTATCCGATCAGCTATCGCTTGCAAATTAGACCAACCTTTTGCGACCACTTAAAACCTATAGCAACATTCTTGCGACGGAGGTTGCAATAAGGTTTCAAGCGCAGTGTGACCCAGGCTTAAGCTCATGTTCTTTGCTGTATTGTATTTTGACTAGCAACCAAAACATGCTGCTATGTTTACATTACATGCACTGTAGCATGAATTACACGGCATAAAAAGCCAATGTTCTGCTATATTACTCGTCAGCTCATGGGTCTGATAATTCTCTTAACAAGCATTTTCAATTGTGTAAAGTTCTATCGGAAAGTTCAGGGCCTAAGGGTTTACGACCCTTTTATGCTAAGCTGAAAATTGCAGTTGCACTATTACTACGTTTTTCCCGATCAAGTAAAGACGTCTGAACAAAAAGGCTTTGTTGCCCTTTTCCGATCAGGCAAATGCCACTTTAGGTACAACTTAAATATACATGTAAACCGTTTTCGATAAAATAAAGGTGATTTTAGTTACGTTTTCATTACCCTTTTCCGATCAAGTGAATGCGATTTTAGGTACAACGTCATTATGGACTTTTTACGATAAAATAAAATTACACATTCATTAATTTAACAACATGACTTTCAGTTACTATAATTCTATGGAAGTAACGGGTATGCTTTAAGTATAGGCCTTGATGTCGCAACCCAGCAATCTGTATCATTTTAAAATAGTATTTGAGCCGACTGTGAATTTGAGTCAAATACCATTTAACTGGAATAAATCAGCAAATTGAAAAAAAAAAGAAAAACAAAATTTGATAATTTCTGGAGTGTTTAAGCGATATTTCGAAAATAACCCTCGGGGGAAGGTTCCTAAGGTGAGATAATCTTATGACCGGTGTGGCAGTAGTGCACGTCTTAGTCTAAGTCCTGGGAATGCAAGTCCTAGGGCATGCATTGCTAGGAATGGAAGTCCTAGGACATACGTTGCTAGGATTCAATGTCCGTAGGACGAAGGCTCCCAAGCAATGTAAATCCTACGTGTAGTAATGCACGTCCTAATAGGACGTGCGATCCAAACATTTTAGTAACGCATGTCCTATATAGTTTACACCAAGAAATGACATGAATAAATACATATAGAGACATAGCCCCCCTACTAGTTTTAAAGATGTAATAAACGTTTGATGTATTCTATTTATATGGTATTTTATCTTTATATTTTACAATGTTTTCCGATAGGCAGTTTAAATGCATATTAATGAAGAAACAAAAACAATTTATTTATTTTATGTGTATTTTTCATCTAGTAACATGTTAACGCATATTTTTGGCGTACTCCTCCCTCCTCCCTCATTGGTTTGCCCGATATTTTTTTAACAAAATAAGGCACCATCCAAAGGCATCCCTTATTTTCATCCTATGAGGTATATGTACAGTGTATACTTTTTCATGTCCTTTTCTACTGGGGTCACCCTGAGCTTCAGAGATAACTTGACACTAGCCTTTTCACTATAGCCTATTGACACGATGAATATAGGCTATAGTGAAGAGGTTAGTGTCAAGTTATCTCTGAAGCTCAGGGTGGCTGTTGTGTACCTTTTGTGTTTTGCGTCAAAATTCTTATTTTCTCTCCCTCTCTCTCTCTTTTTCAAAACCTCATTCCTAAGAGAAAAATCACTTTACACAAAACGCGGGATCTCCGTTCTTAGATTTATTTTTCGGTTTACACTCGCTGAAATTTATAAAACTCAAACTCGATGGAAATTTGCTCTTGATGGACTGTATGGACTGAGATTTAAGATATCAAGACAGTTTCGAAATTGAAAAAAAGCAATATTTGTATATAATGTTCTGTAATAACCCTTTGCTATTTTTGGTGCCTTGACACTTAAAAGAAAAAACAAAAAAAAGTTGTAAATGCAATGAGCAGGGAATTTCGAACACATATTAGACATTGTCTAAGGCCCATTGTTAAACATTCTGCTACAAGTAGTAAATAGGGAAAGGGGGTTAAGGTCATGTCAAAGGTAGGTCTCGAACCCATAGATGCAACAGAAGGACACATGAATTCTTACCTTGTAGTATTGCACGTTAACCACTACACAGACGAGCTGAAGTTTCAAACCTCTCATTTAACAGTTTTATCATTTAATAGTATTATTAGCTAAGGATAGGACTTTCAAATGGTCGGACTTTTATTACTGTCATAGGTGTAACAGGAATAAAAGTCCGACACTAATACAAGTCCTATCTACTATAATTATGAGCCAGGAACCTAAGTCCCTGTAGGACTACTATTCCCAAGTAATGTTAGTAATGTTAGTCCTACAGACAACCATTACCAGGAACCGAGGTCCGGAGGACTTGGATTAATGTTACACCGGCATGATCACGCCTTCCAATAATATACTGTATAGAAAGTCTAGGAAAATAAATTGGAAATTTCGAAGGAATGAACAAAAATATACTGCAGTTCTACTAAAGTCTCTTGTAGTTAAATGCCATTCACAATCTAAGGCCCAACAAG